CACTTTTGGGGAGGTTGGACTCCATGCCCGAGGGCTGAGTTGGAACCCTGCTTAAGTTCACTTACTTTACTTTCTTGTTATAAATACTAGCACACGAGGGGGTGGGGGGCAATATGCTGTTGCAAAGTCTTCTGCTGCAGTCAGCTCACCACTTTATATCCCACTATTTCAAAAGGTTCAAAGCGAGGCTGAAATCAGATTTTAATGTTTCCACAAGCAGCCGCAGGAAGGCCACCGTTTCTCTCTCTCACACACATGGAGGTGCAGATGCATCTGGTTTTGCCGTTACTGCACTGAAACACACAAATACGGAGTGAGTACACGCATGCGGGCTTTGATGTTTTGAAAATTTGACCTTAAAAGTCCTTATTTAAAAAAAAAAAAAAAAGGTCTGAATGTTAGGAAATGACCAATACTTCTCCAATTCATCGAGTCAGAATTTAAGGCCAGAGAGACCACTAGATCATCTGGTCCGACCTCCTGTATCACACAACCCACCCACACCACCCAGCACCCCAACACTAAACCCAACACCAGAAATAAGACCAAAATAAATGAGACCCACAGGAGACCAGACTATTATATGCGCCAGGCAGTGCATGGGAGGGACCGAGGTGCACCAGTGGCTGAGGCCCCCGCAGGAGCAGAGAAAGGATTAAATGAGATACACCTAGAGAATCCTGGCAAGTGACCTGCACCCACGCGATGCAGAGGAAGATGAAACCCCCGCAGGGTCCCTGCCAATCTGACCTGGAGGAAAATTCCTTCCCGACTCCGCATATGGTGAGCAGTTAGACCCTGAGCATGTGAGCAGCAACCAGCCAGCCAAGCACCTGAGGGAGAGAACAGTCAGTACCACTGGCCCGCCTTAGCTAAATAGATATTTTAAATGTTACTGCGATGGTTCAGAGCTTTCTGAAGTATTTGGCAATCCACGTAAGTTTCACATCACTAACTTTGCTCCCACTCTGTTCCTGCCTCTCTTTATAGCCAATTCAGATAAAAAAGCCTTTGCAATTGTTCCGATCACTTTACCTATCACTCAGTACAGTATAATATACAGTACAACAGACTATTAAGATTCTCGACATGTATATTTGGTTTCCAATAGTACATGCTACTCCGGAAAGGTTAACTTTAGTTTTAAATAGCTCAGCCATCTGTCCTGTGATGGTTCACAGGAGCTTAATAATTAAAGAGGCAGAAACAGAATTTCTCAAACTTTTTTTGGCAAACATTTTAATTTGAGTCAGAGACACTCGTCTTAAAAATAAACACACACAGCATGTGAATTGCTCCAACAATTTGTAACGACACTGAATTTCATTAGCACAAATCCTAACCTGCATTTCATCAACTCCAGGCAGCTTAGAGCTGGGGCTCCGATCTTCTCTGCTGTGTTTGTAGAACGGAAGGCAAGATTGCTTGGAGCTGAAAAACAGCTGATTGTTTCAGTTACTCGTTACCCAAGTACCCAGTATATAACATTGTGCATCAGGACCAACATTTTCACACTTGGTCCCTAACTAAGTGGTCTGATTTGCTGAGAAGGTAGAGGCTACCATACTCTTCCCTTGTGTGTAATTCTTGTTGACAGCAGTGGGAGTTGCCCATGGAGAATTACGTATGGCTCTATCGACCCAATCCAGTCCCATTGAAGATAATGGGAGTCTTTCCACAGACTCCCAAGGGGGTTGGATCAGGCTCTATATGAGGAATGAAGCACTGTGTATAACATGCAACAGACCACACCTCTCCCATTTACCTCCTCCATTAAGAACTGCATCTTATGCGTCTACGATAAACCATTTACTTGCTCCTGCAAATGAGGTTTAGAGCATCCCAAGTGACAGACGAGGCAAAAATATTAATCAGAACAACATACCAAAGTTTATTGATTACTTCAAACAGAAGTTTCTGTAATGAAAAAGGGCAAGTTGCATTCATAAAAGGTAACATTCACATTCAATATCTGTTATATAAAGCAACACATGTATAAAATTGCATTTTAAGTGGGGAAGGGGGAAAGGTAAGTTTGCAGTCCCATTTTTTTTAAAAGAAGCTGAAAAATGTTTCTTCTCAACTGTGTATAATTTACACCTTTTTATATGCTACGTTATTTTAAAAAATCCCATAGCTGAGAAATTGGATGAGTGGCGCAACAGTGATATTAATTATATCTTCCACTGGTAGGAAGGTATGCAAATTTGCATTTCACTTTGTACGTAATTCCTGACGATTTATACTATCCTCATACAAAGATTAGTTTGGAAAAATAGATTGAGTTTATGAAACTTTTCACTAGTACTTCGAGCGAGTCTAGTTACTTTTTTTTTTTTTTAAACTTTCTGGGTCACGAATCAGTGTGATTAATCTGCAGGGAATTGTTAGAAACACTGTCCAGTTTCCTTCAAGATTTTCCACCTATACGCTCCTACTGACCTTTTAGCTCATTACTGAAATGTGCTGTAACAATACAACTTGTATTATTTTATATGAACAACAATCACAGTATTACTGTGTTACTGTCAAATTATTGCCATTCTGAGCTATCTAATCACTGGTAGGACCTCAGCTGCAGGACCTCCTTAATTCCAGAATTAATTCTTCTGTTCTCTCTTATACCGCAGGTCCTCAGGAAGCAATAGATTTGGGGTTTGCTAGTTTTGAATCCGGAGGGTCATACCTTTAGCTCAGAGGTGGGCAAACTACGGCCCGTGGGCCACATCCGGCCCGTGGGACTGTCCTGCCCAACCTCTGAGCTCCGGGCCGGGGAGACTAGCCCCCGGCCCCTCCCCCGCTGTCCCCCCTCCCCCGCAGAGCTACGCCGCCGCGCGGGCAGCGCTCTGGGTGATGGAGCTGCGTGCTTCTGCTGAACAGAGAGTGGCAGCGTGTCTGGCTCCAGCCGGCGCGGCAGCCAGACATGCTGCTCTGCATGCTCTGCTCGGCGTGGTAAGTGGGCCGTGGCCAGGGGGTTGTATAAGGGGCAGGGGGCCTTGGGGGGTAGTCAGGGGACAGGAAGCAGGGGGCAGTTGAATGGGGCAGTTGGGGGGGGGCGGTCAGGGGATGGGGAACGGGGGGTTGGATAGCTGTGGGAGTCCCAGGGGGCCTGTCAGGGGGCAGGGGTGTGGATAAGGGTCGGGGCAGTCAGGGGACAGGGAACGGGGGGGCAGTTAGGTGTGGGGGATCCTGGGAGGAGGCGGTCAGGGGACGGGGAACAGGGGGGGGTTGGATAGGCATGGAGTCCCAGTGGGCCTGTCAGGGGGCAGGGGTGTGGATAGGGGTCGGGGCAGTCAGGGGACTGGGAGCAGGGGGGGTTGGATAGGGGATGGAGTCCCAGGGGGCGGTTAGGGGCAGGGGGTCCCAGGAGGGGGCTGACAGGGGACAAAGAGCAGGGGGGTTGAATGGGTCAGGGGTTCTGAGGGGGGCAGTCAGGGGGTGGGAAGTGGGAGGGGGTGGGGGCCAGGCTGTTTGGGGAGGCACAGTCTTCCCTACCCGGCCCTCCATACAGTTTTGCAACCCCAATGTGACCCTCGGGCCAAAATGTTTGCCCACCCCTGCTTTAGCTGGTGTACATCAGAATAGCTCTGCTGAACTCACTGGAGCTGCACCAATACGCTAGCCAAGGCCCTTGCCCAAGAATTTCCAACCCTCTACAGCTGGTCTGCTAGATGTTGTGTGTTAATTCCAGCCCATCCTTGAGGATCCTCACATCAGTTTTGGTTTCAGATGTATGTCTACAGTGAATGGTTCACTCTACACCAATACTAATTATTTGGAGATGGAAAGAGAAAAATTTGGTTCCAATCAAGCTTACTCTTAAAATGCAGGATAGTTATGCCTCCCTTCCCCCCCATCAGTACTCCTGAGAATATACCACAATCCTGCTCTCGCTGAAGCCAAAAGGAAAAATTCAGCTGGCATCAGCCGGAGCAGAATTGGATCCCAACGTAGAATGCTACACAAAACAAACCAGGAAGGAGGCGGTCCGCGTCAGACTTGGAATGGTCTCAGATCACTGGAAGTTTGCCTTTCAGTGCCCACATTTTGAAGAGGATGTAAACATACAAGCAAACAGAACTGTGCGTTGAAGCAGAAAGATCAGAGTTGGCGTACAGACCGCATTGTCAGTGTAGCGGTCGGATGTGCCCCTCGTGCTCGAACGTGTGGGCACAACGTTAGCCATCAACACTGGTGATCAGACAAGATCTAAGGCTCCATTCTAGTCCCATGGGACGAGCCAAAGGAAAAAGGGCCTTGCTTATAGGGACTATGAAGGGGAATGCAATCCACCCCCCTGTGCTCAGCAAGGAGTGGCTGCGCTGTGGCCACTCCTGCTAGGTAAGGTGCAGTGCAGTGAACGGGGCTGACCACCCTCCTGTCCATGCTGGGTCTTAGGAGCTGTGGGGTGTCCAACCCACTAGTCCTGCTCACATTTCCCCCCGCTCCATGTTGAGTAGCATAAAGCAGTCATGACATGCAGGGGTGACAGAGGCCTCTTGCATGCAGTTTCTGCTCCTTTCCCTCGCTTTCCATGAACGGCAGGCTTTGTGTGACTGCTTATATAGAGATGAGGATTTGCCTGATCCAGCTTTCCTTAAGGAAACATCCCAACAACTTCAGAGGCAGCAGGAGAGAGGCTAAGAGACTGAACAACCTGTCAGTGTTTTTTAAAACCAAGTCTATTAGCAAGCATAAAATCAGGTGCACAGCTTTCTGATAACAGTAGCGCCAATTCCTTTACAGTTTTAGAGTTTCCAAACTTTTTGAAGGGAGGGAATGGAAAATTATTTTCTGTTGTTCATCGAAATTTCATGGAGATGGGTATTTTCTGTCCAGCCCTAACTTCTAGTCTCTTTGTGCATGAGCAAAGCAAAGCCTAAAGGTAAAATTTTCAAAAGTGCCCGAGTGACTTAGGAGGCTAAGTCTCATTGACCTGCAATAAGACTTGGGAGGCTAAGGAAATGGGACTTACATACTCTGAAACTTTTTACCCCAAGTTTTTTTTTTTTTTTTTTGCTTTTTCTGGCACAAGGAAACCTGGGCCATACAGGATGAAGGGGACGTCAACCTAGTGGAAAAATATTATTAAAAAAATAAAATGCCAATTGCACTTAATCCGTGCTCACTCAGGATTTTTTATAATCACAGTAGTATTGTTTTTCTGCATAATAAAAAGCAAATAGAAGTTGGTTGTCGAGCATTTTACCTTTATGCTATGCACACGTGGCATTGTTAAATCAACATCTTAACCCGCAACATCTTGATATACACAGATTTTTTTTAAAAATCTGCTCATTTTAGAACCAAGTTAAATGTTACTCGTAGAACCAGATGTATTTATTCACTTATTTTTAAGCTGACCTCCCTTCTTGTTGATGCAGATAATGAAGGTTGCAGATTTATCTGGTATTATTTGCAAGCACAATCAATGCCAATGGGTCACTTAAGGGGCTGAGTGTGACTGCCATTCAGGTCTTTAAGGTGTCCAAACAACTGCAATTACATTCACAGGAGTGTGAGCATAACCACAGAGGCCCAGTTAAGCTTGGGCTGAAAACCTGGCACAACACAACTTTTATTTAAGATTCTTTCCTGACTAAGGCGATTTTCATGAGTAATAAAAGAATTCTGTGTATTTTCAATACATAAGGGGAAAGGGTTAGTCACTATGTCTTCCTCCTGTTCCAGAATCAAATTTGGTAATGTGGAAAAGAAGTCTGGCCCCATGAAAACTCTACCAATATTTTGATCGGCTCCTCAGAAATGTTCAGGCTGACACACTTCTGCATTTTAATAAACAGAGACCATTTAACAGTCTAACCCCTGCTGTTTGCAATGGCAAGGGGATGCCACTGGACATTTCACGCCATCAACAGCTCAGTCCTTCACTATTTTCAAGTATTTCTGCTGCGTGGATTTGAAAGCTGAACTTTTCTAACGATCACATCCTGGCTTCAGCTGCTGGTGCACAACTCTCATTAGCAGCAACGGGAGCCGTGCAAGACGACAGACCGTGGTTTTAATTTAGGGTCCAACCCTACTTCCGTGATGGGAGCCTTTCCAATGTCTTCCATGGGAATTGGACAAGACCGTGATTAAGCAGAAAGGCTGTGCTACTTCTTTGGTCAGGCAAAAGAATAAGACTTTAGCGGCCATTCATTGCTGTTGGATGAATCTGTAATGAAGGAGCTTCCTTCTATTCAGTGGGTATAAGGAGCATCCCTGTGTCTCTAAAGTTTCTATTGTTCCATTTTTATGGAATTCTAGATGTTCTTTTCTCCACTCCCGATTCCACAGACTTTTTATGTCCCAGACTTTTCCATTTTCAGACTTTGAAAAAATGAGGGCCAGTGTCTCCACAGCTGCTTAGTCAGCAAGGCTGCTTACAATACATGTGTCATCTTAAAGAGAACTGAGAGTTCAAACACACGTCTTGTCCTGCAGCACGACAAGGTGCAGTATTTAAAATTGTTGCATTTGAGGTATCCTGAGATGGCATCTTTGTGTCAAGTTAGTAACAGCATCTTCGATCTTCATTTCAGAGGTGTAACCATTCTCCATAGGTTTGTAGGACAATAGCATAGGCAAATTAAAGGGTACAGCCTGTAAAATTAGAAGGAAAAAGATCATTTACTTTAATCTTTACATTCCAAAAATCATAGTTGTGTTATTCTAGGCAGCCAAGTATTAGAATTTGCTAGGAGGATAACAGAAATGGTGATAAAAAGACAGTGATAAAAATGCCAAACTACATTCACAGTGAAGGGGAGAGAGCAGTGTGACAAATGAATTTGCACGGTTTTCAAAATGCTACATTAGGTCAAGGATTAACTTCTGACTTGCTCTCCCCTGTGATTCTCATATTAATTCAGTGATGTTAATGCAGGAATTAAATATTTACCAAGAGAAACTCCTGAAATCTAGGAAGGATGGGATCTTTCCCAACTAATAGATAGCACTTAGTGACTAGGGGGAAGTTCCTCTCTTTTTTAAAGTTGATTTATTTTCTTGCTGCTTCCGGTCTAACATTAAATTTTTCAATCATTCAATGCACATACGTGCACAGAATGCATAGCTCCAGTTGCATAGGAGGTGAAAGAGGATGATACCCATCAAGAGGTGTAGAATAAGGCACGGAAAACTCACTGGCTAGTGTGTATGTGACCTGGAAAGCAGAACATTTAGGAAGCAATATGCTTCCCAGATGGAAAAATTACTGCAGCATTTAACTACTGAAGAAGCAGGTAATTGCTCTCCGGAAAGATCCTCAGTCAGATCTGAGTGATCAGATGGCTGAAGCTGGCCACAGGCATAAATATTTGACATGCACATAACACCTTTCTTCCATAAGACTTCCCCCAAAATAAGCAGTGTGGCATACAATTTAACAACCACGGTCTTCTGGGATTGGGAACTGGGCTTCCAAGTAGCCTACATCTTGCTAACAGGATTCTTAGAGCAACCAACAATGCAAAACGTGAGGCTCAGGTGATCAAGCCATCATTCGGCTGCTGGGTGTCTGCAACACGCTGGTGCTTTGATGGGACAGGGGCTACTGGAATATCAGGGTTGCCATCACTGCTTTGGTGCTCCTGTGCTGCCCCCAGGTGAGTGGGGAGCGCAGACCTTCTGCAGAGGCTGTATGCCTCAGGGCGTCCACACAAAGATGTTTTTCATGGATTGCTGCAAATGTGGAAACAGCCTGTTTTCACTGAGAATTTCACTGTAAGAATTTTTGGAGTGGAAATAGGGTGCATTTTTCTGTGCCCCAAAACTGTGGTAACATTTAAAAACCTAGCCATCTCTATGGAATCTTCCGCAAAACAAAAATCTGGGTGCAGAGAACTGCCCCAAATGGGGATACATTTCCTGCAAAATTCAGCCCCTGTGACTTTGCTCCACTCACCACTGCAATTCAGAGAACACTCAGGGGTGCAATGGGATTCCAACCGACTGGCAATGGGATCAGAAGACCTCCAGGCCTACCACATCTGAAAACCCCACCCCAGAACAGCCGATAGCCCTGTCAGAGGAGGCGGGCCATTTGCAGGTCTATTTATTTAATCTGGTACACTGACCAGTGCCGTGGTCTGTCAAAAGAGGAGAAAACTGAAGACAGCCACTGAGCCAAATGAATCAGACTGCTTGAAAATAACAGTATGCAGCATCACCTAAAGTACAGGAGGGCAGAACAATCACAGAGTTAAATGGAAGTGACATTTTTATTCTAAGCCATACTTAGAGCTCTGTGAATAAGGGCACTGGATAACGGGCAGCACCCTCCGTTCTTAGCCCACTGGTAGACTTATGCGTAAGCAATCTTTCATTCATGACGAGACCCCGTCCTTGTTTCACTACAGAATAGTTACACTAAGGAGCAGCAGGGTTAATACTTGGGAATATGGACATCCAGACTAGCACACATATTTACTAACAAAGACCAGGAAAAGTGGGCTTTTTAACCTGGAATTTATTTGCCTCAATGGCTCCCTTACTTGCAAATTTATATACAAATACCTTAGGAGGAACAATAAGACATTTGTAGCAAGGCGGCAGCTTTTTCTTCGAAGCGTGAATGAAATTTGGCACTTTTATCTATTTCTACAGCTAGAAGCATAGAGAGTGATTCTAAACATGATCATTAAAAAGCCAAACATGTAGTATAATAATTATATGTCTATACACGCACACAAACACAAGTATGCTGTACATATAATCAAATACATTACACGTCTAGATTCAATTCTGTTCACATACATTAACATTTCTTTGTATAATTCTGACAGAAGAGCATGCACTTACAAAAAAACAAACCCATAACCTTTGAATTGATCCAGATGCAATAATGGAATAATTTTAATCATTGGGATTTGGACACTTCATTAGAAATACGTGAGTATTAAAGTTTTATGATCACTGTTAACATAATTTAATGACAGTATTTTCAGTCTCAGTTGTCTCAATATTACTCAAATAAACTTGGCTTATGCCAACTATACTGTACATTTTCATTTACATAAAGTGGGATCTTGGAACTCTAAAGAATCTGCACACATCTACTGAGGTTCTGAAAAAGTTGTATGGATAGCTCCAAAGATTAAAATGTATGCCAAGCATTGCACCTTTATGTTTTGCAAAGACAGGTACCCCACACCACCAACTGAGAAGATGATAAGAACTATATTTTAATTGATTTTTGGAAGATTTGGTTAATTTGTGCCTTTAAAACCATCCCAATTCTTTTGAATAGGGTACCTGTTACTATACATTAGACTCGTCTGAGAATGTTCTTAAAAGAAGAGGTCTGACAGAAGGTCTGGACGACAGTGAATCAGATTCCTTCCTACTGCTCAGTTTTTTCTGTAATAGTGAGGCAAAAATACTTAAAGCACATGAGACATGTTCATCTACCCAATGGTGTAACAAATAAGAAAAGACTTATTGAATCATTCTGTAAGAAAACTTTAAGTTAAATAATCAAAAAGACTAACCAAGACATGATTTATAAATGCCAATATTAGGAAATATTGGCCAAATTTTTCAAGTATGAGTGCCAAAGAGTTAGGCACCTTTGGTGAATATGGGTGGTGTGCACCACAACTCTGAAGATCACCCCCGCTTATTTAGATGCTCAATTTCGGGCATCAAAGTTTGGAAGTTTCTAGGAGAGGGAAAGAATCCATCACCCTCTGCAGTAGTATTTTTGGACATTGAGAAGTATGTGGCAAACACAGCAAGGTGAAAATGAAACCAACTAGGAACATGCATAAAATGCTCTGGTATCTTACCATCCCCATAGAGAGCAGCTGCAATTGAGAATTGCACTCAGCATAACTGGTACAAAATCTTTGTTTATTTTTTCGAAACTTTATAGCTTTTACGAATAGCAAAATACATGCTTTACTGTAACGTGAGTAAATATGGTTTTGTTAGCCAAAGGAATGTGTTCGAGAAGCTACTGCTAGCCTACGGAATTGGCCAAGTGCGAGATGGACTGTTTGCACACACATCAAGTAACTGGGAGCACAATCAAAATAAAGTAGATTGTTGTTTCCATGTTTCAAAGAAAGCTTTATCCAATGCACTCAGAACAGGCTCTACAGGGGGAAAAGAGGGTATGTAACGACAGGGCAAGAGCCACAGCTGGTGTTATTTCTCACAACTCCATGGATTTCCATGGAGCTGCACCGGTTTACACTAGCTGGCAATCTGGTCCAAAATGCAGATCGTAAGTCCCCTGATGGTGTAACCTGTCTTATGTCTGTCTGTCTGTACAGCACCATGCACATCTACGGGTCGTATTAAATAATGAGGATGCATGCAACAAGCACTGCTGAGTTGATGTGCAGCAAGTTGTTGCGAAGCTTTAAATAACGGGATAGCGACACCAAAGTGAAAGGGGTAGACAAAATACATTTAAATGAAAAGGTACCTTTAAAAAACCGTTTATTGCACAAGCAGATCTAAAAACCACAGGTTATCAGCGGTTATGCATTCGGAGAAGGAAAAAAACAGCAGCACAAGCAAACCTGTACTGATTAAGAAAGGAAATCACCTTATTCATTCCAAGAAAAGCTGTGATTGCTGGGAGTTTGAGAGAGCATGAAGATAGTGGATGTTCCTGAGGAAGGAAGGCGTTTCGTTACCTAGTTCACAACAGCACAAAAAGGTGGAAAATGGCAGCAGAGAGAGAGAGAGAAAAATGCAGAAACCAAAAGAAAACATGAATGCATTTTGCAGTTCAAAACACTTGCACATAGAAACATTGACAAATACAGGCCGAGCGAACAGCAGTGCACTGAAGGGAAACGTTAGAAAATGGGACCGCTCCAGGTGAAATCCCAGCCTCACTGAAGTCAAGGGCAAAAATCACGTGGATTTTGATGGGGTCAGGATTTCACCCGCCGTTTTTGAAAGGAGAGACAGCAGACACTGCTCTTGCTAGTCATACGCACTGGCTTTTGAAACCTTAGCCAGCACTTTGGAAGTTTAGACACCTGAATAAGTGGCCAAGTCTGGAATTTTCCACTGAAATCAGTGGAGGCTGCGGCTCCTCAACACCTTTGAAAATCAGGCCACTTGCTTAGGCGTCTAATTATGGACACAGGCATCTAACTTTAGATACCCATGTCCGAAACTCTTTGACTACTATTTTAGTATTGCTACTTGAAACATAACATCTTGAAACCCTCATCTTGTGTTTTTTATGTATATACACACCAGGGTGACCAAACATACTAGCCCTCCAAGCCACATAATGACCATCTTCAGCAATTCAAGAGCCGGAGCACAGCTGCCGGGGCTCGAGGTTTCAGCCCCGCTCCTGCTGAAGGAGGGAACCACCAAACTACTCTGTTGGATGGTAGGTGTCTTGCTTGTCTGTGTGAGCACAAGGGATGAAATCCTGGCCCCAGTGGGTACATCTACACTACACACTCTAAGCCTGGGCCCTGACTTGGGTTTGAGACCAAGCTCCCCTGCCATCCACACCCAAATCAGTCTGACGCAGGTCAGCAAGCAGTCAGAACCCAGGTCCTCTGACCCGGCTAGGGAGCTGGGTCAGAGTCCAAGTCCCGGTGTGATCCGGGTCCAAACCTTGTCATTTTGCAGTGTGGACACAAGTCAGGCTGCAGACCCAAGTCAGAAGGGCTGCCTAGTGCCATATGGATGTGTTAGCACAGCTGTGAGACCAGCAACTGTAAACCCAGGTTACAATGCAGTGTGGGTGTTAAAGCAAAGGCTTGGATACACCTAGTTCACAATCCCAGGTCCTGCAGTTCCAGGCTTAGAGTGCAGTGTAGCACACCCAAAAGAAGTCAACAACAGAACTCCCAATGACTTCAGAGGGGTCAGGATTTCACCCCTGGTGAGGAGGAAGTTCTAGCCAAATCAACTAGCGGCCCGGCCACAGATTGGTCAAGGACGCACCTTTTACGCACAATGACTAACTTTTGGGACACAATGGAAAGCTGGAACAAAGCCCCCCAAACTCTACCCAGCCAATGCGGCTCCAGAAGGAAATCTTGGCACCAGACTGCTGATCTACTAGATGTGGTCACCTAAGTTTCTGCAAGATCCAAATCCTGCTCCCACTAAAGTCAATGGGATGAGGTTTTAGACCCGAGTGACTTTTCAATCACCAGACTCATTATACCCCGTTTCTCCCACCTTGAGGAAACTTCCTCACCACCACTGCTGAGAGCAAATCATTCTTTTCCTTTGAAATTGGCTAGTCTAACTTCCTAGAAGCCATTAGGTTACATTTTTAACGTCTTAAACAAAAACCAAAAAAGAAAAGAAAAATTCTAACATGGCGACTCAAGGTCTTAAGAATTGGACGTCACCTACCACCCACCAAGCTGGTTAGCCTTCATTATAAACCGAAGGGAACACAGGATGAGGACAGATTTTTAAAGAAGAGTCAAATACTGGGTTTCTCTTTTTCGTTCTGACCCATTAATGTTCTTAGAACCAATGTAATAAAGAGTTAAAAGGAAAACAAACACAGCCTTTTACGCCGGAAGTGGTAGGCTCTTGAAACCTGTCTGATAAACATAACAAAGATTCCAAAAGTTTTCATTGCTTATAAAATTGAACACTAATAATTGGTTTCACAGATTTTGTTATTTCATAGGCACATGTATTGCACTATCAATATTGTGCCAAGGGAATCTAGCAAGTGTTCTAAGGAAACATCTTTAAGACTTCAATATTTTTATATCTAGTTAAATACCAATTTTTGGTCAAAATACAGAGGCCAGAGAAAAAAAATTACCCGGAAAGAAATGCACAGAGCTTTCAGTAAAGTCATACAGGATACTAGAGCACCATGAGAAAAATCTCTTCTTCCTAAACCTCAGTATTTGAAAGTAATTTTACAATTTAATTGAACACAAATTCCAATGAAACTTAATGTCATTTAAAACATAAATGGTTACATTAAAATTCTTTTACATTTCGGGTCGCACCTTGCCTAGAAACTACATTATCAAAATGGCACAAAACGACAGCTTAGTAACCTGCTGCTTAGGGATGTGCAAACAGAACGTTGAACCTAAATTGCTAATCTACCCCATTTGAAAATAAATACACTAGTTCTGGGAGGAACACAGAATGATAGGCTGAAGTAGCTGAGCATTAGCAGGTGCCAGTAAAGGAGGAGGAGGAGGAGGTGGAGGAGGATGGGGCTAAGAGCTCTGATGTGATGTTGCAGAGATGTTTTGAACAACTGGAGAAGCACATAGCAGGGAACATGAACTTTTCATTTTCGTTAACATAGAATCACAGGACTGGAACGGACCTCGAGAGGTCATCTAGTCCAGTCCCCAGCATGCATGGCAGGACTAAGTATTATCTAGACCATCCCTGACAGGTGTTGGTCTAACCTGCTCTTTAAAATCTCCAATCATGGAGATTCCACAACCTCCCTAGGCAATTTAGTCCAGTGCTTAACGACCCTCATAGTTAGGAAGTTTTTCCTAATGTCCAACCTAAACCTCTCTTGCTGCAATTTAAGCCCATTGCTTCTTGTCCTATCCTCAGAGATTAAGAAGAACAATTCTTCTCCCTCCTCCTTGTAACCACCTTTTATGTACTTGAAAACTGTTATGTCTCCTCTCAGTCTTCTCTTTTCCAGACTAAACAAACCCAATTTTTTCAATCTTCCCTCGTAGGTCATGTTGTCTAGACCTTTGATCATTTTTGTTGCTCTTCTCTGGACTTTCTCCAATTTGTCCACCTCTTTCCTGAAATGTGGCACCCAGAACTGGACACAATACTCCAGTTGAGGCCTAATCAGCGTGGAGTAGAGTGGAAGAATTACTTCTTGTGTCTTGCTTACCACACTCTGGCTAATACATCCCAGAATGATGTTTGCTTTATTTGCAACAGCGTTACACTGTTGACTCATTTAGCTTACGACCCCCAGATCCCTTTCCGCAGTACTCCTTCCTAGGCAGTCATTTCACGTTTTGTATGCGTGCAACTGATTGTTCCTTCTTGCACCATCTTCCAGGCATTTTCTAACCACAGCTGTGCTGGCTTTCAATGTTGGGGAAATAGGCAAAGGTAAACTGGTGCTTATCACCAATATTCAAAGACAGTTACCACCATTAAAGCTTGCAGCAGATAATTTCTATTTTAAAAACAGCCCCTCCCACCACTCCTCCCCTTCTTTTAGCAGAGTGAGACTGGCCTTCAGGAAACACTGCATCATGCATGGGAAAACCCAGTGTCTTTCTTGACCGGGAGCGATAAAGAAAGAGGACAGCCTGGTGGTTAGGCTCTACGCTGGGACTCTAGAAAACTGGGTTCTAATCCCAGGTCCACCACAAACTTCCTATGTGATCTCGCGACAAGTCAATTAGCCACTGTGTCTCAGTTCCCCAGGACCTGGGGATTACAGTGGACAAGAAGCTGGATATGAGTGAGCAGTGTGCCCTTGTTCCCAAGAAGGCCAACGGCATAGTGGGCTGTATTAGTAGGGGCAATGTCAGCAGATCGAGGGAAGTGATTATTCCCCTCTATTCGGCACTGGTGACGCCACATCTGGAGTAGGGCGTCCAGTTTTGGGCCCCCCACTACAGAAGGGATGTGGACAAATTGGAGAGAGTCCAGCGGAGGGCAACAAAAATGATCAGGGGGCTGGGGCACATGACTTATGAGGAGAGGCTGAGGGAACGGAGGTTATTTAGTCTGCAGAAGAGACGAGTGAAGGGGGATTTTGATAGCAGCCTTCAACTACCTGAAGGGGTATTCCTCAGGGGATGGAGATAGGCTGTTCTCAGTGGTGGTAGGTGACAGAACAAGGAACAATGGTCTCAAGTTGCAGTGGGGGAGGTCTAGGTTGGATATTAGGAAACACTATTTCACTAGGAGGGTAGTGAAGCACTGGATGGGTTACCTAGGGAGGTGGTGGAATCTCCATTCATAGAGGTTTTTAAGGCCAGGCTTGACAAAGCCCTGGCTGGGATGATTTAGTTGGGGTTGGTCCTGCTTTGAGCAGGGGGTTGGACTAGATGACTTCCTGAGGTCTCTTCCAACCCTAATCTTCTATGATTCTATGTACTGCTTCCCTACCTCGCAGGATAATAAAGGCATAAGTGATTGTGAGGTTTCCCAATACTATGGTAACAGGGACAGTGGGGCAAGGCTATTTTTGACTGTATTTGAACTAGCTGTCAAGTCCCTTGCAAATTCACTGTGAAAATTTAGCAACTCAGGTGCAAAATCCACTTTTCCACCCTTATGATGAGAATGAGGAAGATAATGAAAAAAACTAAAGATATCTTATCCATCAAAAAATCATGAATCCCCAAAAAGCAAAATCCCTAAGAACTCCCCTTCGATGATTGATTAGGTCAAATTTGCAAGTTTTGACAGTCAATTAAGACTAGTAATGGATTGGAGCAGTGAAACTGAGCAGAATGAAGTCCAATGTGATTTGCAAGATATACTTTCTAGAAGGAGAAGCAGTTACACTCTATACAGACGTCAAACGCTGACTGAAAAGGCACTGCTGCTGCGGCTGCTTCCGCGGATCGGGGCAGTACTTCTGGTTAACACTTTTTGACCTTTTTTGGCACATGAAGGAATGACACGATGAGAGGCAGGCAGCCTCTCACTAGGTGCAAATGGTGCCTGGCTACCCCAGTCTGTCGGGTGTTTAGAAGAACGGAAGCGCCTCTTCCAAACAAGGGAAGTGTAGTGGTATATTCTCTCATTCCTTACCTGATGGTTTTTCCTTTTCGCATTTTTAAAAACTACTAGAAGAATCTCCGGGAAAAGGCTGATAAAGATAAGGAGAACTACGGCCAGCCAGGTTGATACGGACGTCACCATATGAGCAAATACAAAATACATTCGTTGCTGCTTCAAGAAAGGCCTGAAAGAGAAGGGACACAAACAGACTCAGACAATACAATGGGCCACTGCAGTTTTCCAGCGAGGTGAGATTCAAATTAAGACTAACACTTTCAGGGGACAAATTTGCATATGGGGGAGGAAGGGGGATGTTTGCACGTGTAAAGAGGGCAGCACTTGTGCCTGCAAAGATACCTGTTCCTGATGCTTTTATTTCACTCTCTCTTCTAAGTCTCATCTGGCGGCTCCCCAATCTACTGAAACTGCCCTAAAAGCAAGTAGTCGCTCCCTCCTAGCAAAGGCTCAGAGCCTCTTTTCCAATGTCACCCTCCAAGCCAGACACTGTTTGTCCCCACTCCTCTGCCCCATCCTTGAATTCTCTCCTGCTTCTTCTCCTCTTACTTCTACATCAGCATCTCCTCCTCTGCTCTGCTGCTGTGTGTCCCTCAAACCATCAGCCTTTGCCCCTACTTGATGTCGTGTCAATCACCATTATCCATGCTGATGGTTCCCAAACCCCCCTTGCTATACAGTCTCCCACCTCTGACAGTCCCATACCTCCTGCTGGCCACCCTGTGCGGACCCACATTCAAAAGGGCACAGCCTCCCCCTCCTCTCTCAGTCATAGGCAGACGCATCACTGTCCCTGGAATGTGATGTTTTAGGGCTTGTCTACACAAACACGGAGTCCCTGGCAAGCTGGGGTTTGAATCTGCTCTGCACTAGCTTCCCGCACTCCAACTGCCTATGTAGACCCTGCTGATGCACATTAACAGTTCATTAGTGCCCTTTGATCTAGTCCTCTTTGTAAGAGAAGCAGATAAAAGCTCATTAATAAAGCGTTATTGCGCTTGCATAGGATAGGCTGATATGGGGTAGATTCCCAGCCCAGCTTGCCATGAACTAAATCTTTGTGTAGATGAGCTCTTATTCAAACTCCTTCCTCTGCTCCACTAAGACAGGCCACCTAACCATGTCTGTTTTCTCCCTAAAACCACAATTCTAGGTGCAGCCCTTCCCTCTCCACCCTGCAGCTGAAGCCCTTGTCCAGGCATTCAGTATCACACCTTCCTCTTTGACTCCTGCAATGCTGGCATCCATGATCTCCCCACCTTTTGTCCTACTCCCCGCCAAGCCAGCCAAAACGCTGCTGCTAGGTCGTTTCTCTACTACTCTGTTACTCTGACCACATCACTCCCACCTTCAAATCCCTTCATCGCCTGCCCTTCATCTTCAGCTACCAGTTCCTCATCCAGTCCTCCAAGGCTCTTCTCAGCTACACTACTGTCTGCACCTCAGCAATCATGATTTTTACTATTCTGGCCCCCTTCCACCTTAGATGTCCTTTTTGTATCCATCTACGTCTCAGCTACATACTTGTATCCGGGCTTTCCTTGCAACACTCTGCCATTTCTCTGTTAGTTCCGCATGTTACATTCAGACTGTGCTGGTGTCAGAACGGTATTTTTTTTTGCAGCTGGCCAGAAACTCTGGGATTATGTAAAAAGAGTTAATCCTGAATCTATTCCAACTGCTTGTTGGAAAACGCCCCCCCCAGGCAGGGATTACTGCCCTCTAAACACACAGCGTTTCATCTTACATTGCAATCGTCACATGCATTTTTCAAAACATGTTTGCTTCAGCTTCTCTTTGACGACATTCTCAATTACCTAACTAAACAGCAGTGCGTGTGTAATAATTAGACTCTTCGGAGAGTCATCTCTTCATTTTTCCTGCCTGTTTTTTCTCTCCTACCCCTAGTCCCTTATTTTCTGTCTCATTTTTGACTGGGGGGAGAGAATTTTCAAAAGCGCCCAAGTCTCATTTTCAAAAGTAGGCACATGGGAGCCTAAGTCCATTGGCTTTCAATTAAACGTAGGATCTAACGAGCCGATATCATTTTGAAAAGGAATTTTTTGAAAATTTTACCCGGATCTCCAGGAGACCAGATCAGCTTTCGCTGCTTTTAAGGCTTCCCCCATATGTTAATCTCCTCACTATATCTCTGTCATTAACATTTGTTATGATCTTAATCCCTAAATACGAAGAGCAAGGAGTTTTGAGGCCATTTCTTAGGGCATGGCTACACGGGAACACTCCCACGGCAGCGCTTTCAAAAGTGTGAGTGTGGTCGTGCGCGAGCGCTGGAAGAGCTCCCAGCGCTCCTGGTAATCCACCTCCACGAGGGGATTAGCTCCGAGTGCTGGGAGCGCGGCTCCCAGTGTCCGGAGCCTGTTTACACTGGCGCTTTAAAGCGCTCAGACTTGCTGCGCTCAGGGGGGTGATTTTTCACCCCCAGAGCCAGCAAATTAGAGCGCTATAAAATGTAAGTGTAGACAAGCCCTAAGAAGCAAAGACAAACATTGTCTTCTGAAATGAGGTTTTACCTTGTCTAGTCTGCACAGTAAAATGCACAGACCATTAATATTAAGGAAACTATTATTGAGAAAAGGTTATCCCAAATACATCATTTTACTTTGAACTTGGACTCAAGTAGAGCTTTCTGAGATGGTTTTTACTGGTGAAAGTCCAGAGACTCAAAGCCCCCAAAGGGTTATCTGTATCTTTCCATCTCCCCTGATGACAGAGGGGAACTGACAGATGCATGGGAAGGAAGCCTCATACATAAATGAGGACAAGAATTCTAAAGCATTGGTTGTTTAGCTAAGTATTTAGCTATGCATTTAGCTATGCAAAGTAAACACTCCAGTGGAAAATTCATGAATTGCAGTGTAATGAGATAGCTGGTAAGATTGCAGACAAACATCTGTTTAACTCTTAGAGTCCAGAGCAAACGCAGCCTGTGGCCCTGAATAAAGCTAGTTTAGTTACTTGAGCTTGTTTATTAGCAGACAGGGACTGAAAAATGGACCCAGCACCTACTGGCTTGTGGGCAAAGCCTACAACTCAGGGTGCTGTCCCTGCCAAATAAAGGAATACAATGGCTGAGTGCTGTTTATTGCAGGGGGAATCAATCTGCAGCATATTTAACAGAATGTTGCCTAACGAGTTTAATTTACTATGGTTCACCTGCTTTTGTTAGACATGCTGGGTAAACTCCTGGCCCCACCGCAGTCAATGGGAGACAGGCCTGTCTCTTCCTGACTTCATTCCACTTCTTTCCTCCCTTACGAAGTATCACAGAGTATCAATTCCTGCATTATTTTCATTGTCTGCTTCCTCTGTTCTCTTTCCCACTCCACTAGCATCTTTCCCACAGTGTGTGCTTCACCTACATTTTCTCTCTCTCTCCCTCCATGTCACCCATCCACCCACCCAGAGTTTGAAATATTTACCAGGACAAATTAAGACGATGGCCTTAATATCCAAGAATACCCCCAGGTAAGAAACCAAACCCCCCTTCTTCACCAAAGCTGTTGGATTCACGCCAAGGTGTCGTTTGTTTGCAAGATCTTTTGTAGACCCCAGCTAATAGGTGTCTGATCAATCCGAAGCCCCCAAATTCTTCTGGCCACTGGAAGAGGAAGGCTCCCATTCCTTCACCTCCCCTACCCCACTACACATGACCCACAGCTTCCTGGTTGCTGCTCAAGTAATAGTGGTCTCCACTAACCTACCCTTCTCCAGGCTTCTCCTCAGTCAGAAACCCAAGTACCAGCCTCCACGGCAGCTCTTAGCTTTCCCTAAGGAGTAGGGAAATTAACCGGGGTCTCTTAAGTGACCCTGTTTCCCACAGGGAACTCACAGTAGCAGCAGTGAAAACTGACAAGATTCAGCGTCAATTTCCACTTGGTTACAGCATGGGAAAGCCATGAGCAGCAGCAGCATTAGAATGGTCTGTCTGAAGACTGAGGAAGACCGCTCTGCATCATAGCTCATGTGAAAGGTTATCTTTACAGCCATAGGGGCTAGAAACTCCATTTTTGTTTTTAAAGGTAAGCTTTGCTTCTGTACAGGTTGACAGAAAGCTGTTTCAAGCAAGTACTATCACCACAAGCAAGTTGATTTTACAAGCTCTGCTAATACACAGTGAAAGAGTTCCTTGACTTATCTCAAAGGATAATGAATCACTAATTCCACCACCACAAAACAAAACAGAAAACAAAAAACATCCCCAGCACTTAGATATTACTGCAGTTGCCATGAAACAAAGAATAAGATGGTTTCACATTAGCAGAAGTACCAACTTCAATCTCAGTCTGCTTCTTGATGATTTTCTTCCATGCAGTTTGCACTATTTGCTGTATATTAATCAGCATCTAATACTAAAACTATTTACTGATTTTAGGGATCTACCATTTTCGATTAACAACATAACCCCCAATCCCTGGATTCCTGCAGTTCCATCACACCCATGAATTTGTCCGTCTCTTTCACACAATGCAAGCACTGCACATTCACCTAAAGACAAAACAAAAACATCACTGAAAGAAGAAAGATACTTGCCATATGATTCCTCCCCAAAAGAACGAGAAAAAGACATAAAAGGCTAAGGAGCCCCAAATCACAAAGTGGTTCATCCAGGTCCAGAATCGAGTATCTAACGCTAGCTATATAGGTGAAAACAACAAATGGAATAGTAGTTAGTTACAAAGTGTATCTCCAGTGCCATTTATATCACAAATTTCCTTCACATGCAGTAGAGATTCTCCTTCCATTCATGTACATGTCTAAATTCACTAGTCAATTGTCTCTTAGCAAAGGTTTGACAATGAGAATACTTGATTTGCACATTGGCACAACATCAACAAAAGACCTTCCCTGATGAGATTTAAGTTATCACTGAAAGGCTTCACTGAAAAAACCTGACACCACTCAATACTCCATCCGGGAAATGACTGTGTTGTGAGTATATTCTTCCCACATGCTCCACTTGCTATTCTGAACGATAGGTCAGAAAACTCTTGTAAGGTCTTTGATGAAGGGGCTGCATCTTCTTATGTTCTAGTATTTGTAATGATGCCTGGGAATTCTGTGGGGAACAAACTGGGGACCGCTGGATCTAACAACATGATGCTTTCCTGCTTGAGGTAATGAACCAGCAGGCAGTAGCAGACTCAAACCTCTATACATAATCTAACCCAGGGGTCGGCAACTTTTCAGAAGTGGTGTGCCGAGTCTTCATTTATTCACTCTCATTTAAGGTTTCGTGTGCCAGTAATACATTTTAATGTTTTTAGAAGGTCTCTTTCTGTAAGTCTAGAATATATAACTAAACTATTGTTGTATGTAAAGTAAACAAGATTTTTAAAATGCTTAAGAAGCTTCATTTAAAATTAAATTAAAATGCAGAGCCCCCCGGATCGGTGGCCAGGACCCAGGCAGTGTGAGTGCCACTGAAAATCAGCTCGTGTGCCGCCCTTGGCACGCGTGCCATAGGTTGCCTACCCCTGATCTAACCACTACAAGGGGACAAAGACTGACCCTTTGCCAATGTAGGCTGTACATAACACACAGCTCACCGCACCCTGGATCCTTGGTAAGGCCTTTGGGATCTACTGCAATGCAAATTATTAAAATTATTATGATTTGGCAAGTGTATTTTTATGACAGAGCTCCAACTCATTGAAAAGTACTGGAGCCAAGACTGGGTAAAGAAAATTTTTCGGTTGTCCCTCTCTCCTTTCCTGAGCTGAAAACCCAAGAGGTGAAGGTAGGGAAGAAAAGGCAATAGAACAAATTCACAAGTACTAGGGGAGAGAACACACCCACACACGAAAAATCTAGACGAGACTATAAGTTGTGAGAGCTACACTGTACAGTAAAGAAATGATGGACATTTTAAATATACAAAAGGATCAAAGATCCAAAACCCTACAGGAAATAAATGTCACTGATACATTCTAGCATAAAGTGTATAATTTTACACTACAGTACACACAATTTATTTCTGCTATAATCTTTCAATGGCATATTGAAAATAAAGGACATTTCTAACCTTCAGAGTGACGGTGAACACTAATATAGTAAAAACAATAGTTCCAAAGGTCCAGTTCCCAAAAACCTGAAAAACACGTTAATCGCCACATGTATCTCTTTGTCTTGTTGGAAAAACAAAACAAACTACACGCTTAGTAACTACAGTGGGTAAAATTCAATGGAGTGATTTATTTTAGAGTCAACTATACAAAGATATGCACCACCATATGTTCTTGTAAAGCTAGCTGCCCATTACAATACTCCTATGCCATGCAGTACCATACAAACAATTAACTTGTTGTGACAGTAACAAAATCTTCTACGGACATCCATGTTTATCAAGAATGTAAGTCACTTGGACCACCTGTATTTAGGTGATTTCCTCAGTTTGTGCTTTCTTATAACATGGAAAGCAACACAGTAGCTGCACTTTTTGTGTAACTTTGTTCCATTTGCTGAACATACTGATTGATATTTTCAAACTAGAATATTCTGAGTTTGCTTGTTTGCAGATACTAGTGACTACGCACAACAGAGAAAAGCAGATACTGCATATTTATCCAAATGACGGCAATGAATGGGACAGATGCTTACCACAGGCTGTCAAGATCTGGATGCATACATTAAAACAGAAAGTGAAATGCAAAAGTTTTAAAAAATGCAAAAAAATTAAAGTTAATAGGAGCGAAAAAGGATTCAATCAAACATACATGGATATTATGATTAATTGCTGGTAGCAGTCCTTACAGTCCTAAGTAGTTACAAAACAAGACATAGCCACATAGCTCGTTTTCAGAGTGTCACGCAGACTCAGACTCTCAAATCATTTACATAGCATACTAGCGCAAATCAAATTCATTTGAATAGAACCAGAATGATTATAGAAAGCCACCCTCGAAGTACGTAAGGGTGTTGTAAACACAGTACAGTGGGTTAATTGTGTTATAAAATGGACCTTATAAAACTTTTCCAAACATTCTATGCATACGTGTTTTACATCTACATGAAATCAACCCACATTTCAATAGCTTCTCTCCGAATATCAACTTTCGAAAGAGCTCGTTTGGCAAGGTTAAGTTTCACTACAAACCAGAAGGTTTGAAGTTGATGGGCCTCATCCTGCTATCATTCTGCACACAGAACTCCCCCTAAAAGTTGTGTGTGAAGCCTAAGGTACGAGATGGTCTCATGGTTTTGACTGCAGTCACATTTGTATATGGGGTCGTTGTACCTAGACAACATAACCATTTCTAAACTGTTTACATGGCAAGCTGGAAGAGGCTTCACATACAGAGAATAAAAAAAAAAAAATCTTTCCTAATTTGTTTTACAGATCTCAAATTATTCCTGCTCTACTAAGGGAACTCGTGACTACATCATAAGACAAGACTCTAGACACATTTCACTGATACATACACATATTATACAAAGTGTACAGAAACACACACACACTAATATTCTCAATGGGTTTATTTTTATTTTCTTTTACCTTTCCATTATCTTCTAATGTTGAATTTTGAAAAAGAAAGTAAACTCCAAAGAAAAACACAAGTCCTTCAAAGGCGCCCAGAAAGGTCCAGTATAAGAAAGGCTTCCACTGTAACATGGCATTATCAGAAATTTTCCTGTCAAGAAACAGAGTGACAAGAAAAATCACTTTCACTTTTTCAGAGTCTTTCCACTCACTTCAATGGGGTTTGAATCAGGCCCTTCATTTTGGTGGCGAGATCTGTGCGACACAAAAGTAAATCTCTCACTATAGAGAGAGCACAAATGACGTCAGAAATCTATGACCGCTGTGGCTGAGCAGATTAATGCATTCCCCTTTCACTTCTAGAGAAGTAGCTTCAAATCCTGACACAGTCCAAACGGAAGACAGCGGGTTGCATTATTGTTCTATTCCTGCGTTTACAAAACTACTACACAACTTAGCACCTGTAAATTCCAGCAGCTCAATTTTAAAGGAGGACAGTAATAAAGGAGTCATTGACATGATCAAATTAACTGCGAGCCCCTCTCCATTTGCTTCTGCCTAATCTGTATTTTTCAAAATGTAAATTTCTTCAAGTTCAGAAACATTAATCCTAGATATTGTGGAGCTAGCGCCTTTCCTTCGTTAAGGAAAATGCTCGGGCTGACAGTAACCTGCTGAACTGTTTGCAAAATGTACATGAAGATGGGGGGGGGTTTTGCTGGATTTTCTGGGGCGGGGTTAATTTAGATACAAGATCTGGCACTTAAACAACAGTAGTTACAGGCTCTGGGACACTTTCACAGAAGGCTCTGCTGCTGATGTTGTAGAAATGAGCTCCCTCTGGTGGAATATCTCAGTGTACCATTTCTTCTGTTCCTTCTTGTCCATTTCCAAAGGATCCCAGAACAATGCACATATACTAGGAATGGAGAGATTCCAAGCATTGCAGGCTTTGATTACTGCCATCTATAAGTAACAGTGGGTGGGCAGAAAAAAGCAGGTTCTCCCAAAATCTCTAGGAAGTATATACCCCTCATTCAAGAGAAGCTTTTATAGTCTTTTTATTTTATTATTATTGCTGGGATTTGGGGGTTAGCTAGAGCAAGGGGGGGAAAAAACAGCATGTAAGTGAAAAACAGCAATTTCCCCCCCCCCCCCCCCTTCCCTTATAACTAAAAAGGTATTACTTCAATTTCCAGCAGGCTGGATTCTGCAAACAGCTGTGGCACTGAACTATAATTATAGTTTATAATACAGAGGCTTACTTCAGTCCAATTATGATGTGGCAAAGGCAATGCTATAATAAGCCGAAGGAGGAAGACGTTCTGTAATGTGTGTTTCTGAGAGAAGGTCGTATCATAACAGGGCTAACACTCGGGGTCAGGAAAATCATCAGAGCTTCTTTCCTGCACATTTTGTTTTGTCTCTGCATTTATGTCCTGCAGCACTTTTTCATTCGCAGGACTTCTACAGTGGCTCAAAATTCAAGCTCTGCAGAGCAGCAACGCAGCATTGTCTACAGCAGTTGCACTGCAGTCACTTTGTAGTCAGCCACACATGCAAAGTCATGAGGATTCAATTGGAGCCAGCGTCTTGTAAAATTAATTTGTTCTTCTTAGGCTCGCCTCCCTTTGTATTCTCACCATTCTCTAGCCAGCCAGGTGAGTGCATTTGCTACACAGGATTCAGCAAGGGTCTAAAAACATGCCGTGGTCTTTTGCCAAATGGAAGGAGGGTAGCAGAGGACATTTGAGTGTCCATTTCAAAAGCAGGCAAAGTCCATTGCATACGCTACCTTTTAGAGATCTAAGGTAGATTACATTCTGACTCCACACTAGTGCCTGGTGAATAGTGATAGCTGGCTCCTCTCTGGGCCAGGGCTCTTGGCTCGAACAGGTCGCTGCTACCATGACAGATGCCAGCCATACAGCTTAATGCACTACAAGAAGGTGCACCAATACCACAGTGATAGACACAGTGTAAGAACCCAAACAGAAAAGAACGGAGCAACCCTGAATTTGTTTCACTGCTGGTGCTCTAAATGCGGATGGTAATCTCTACAGCTTACTTGCGGGCACGGGCAACAGGAAAACTGGGATCAGTTGTGTGCTGCCAGTATGTTAATAAGAGAGTCCGAGAAAAAAGTGCCTCTTTTAGCCGGTGATAAAGGGATTGTGCCAGGTGTGTGTGTACACACCAGCGGCTGATGGGGCAGGAGAGAGGGAGAGAAGATTGGAGAATCTACATTTGGTCTCCCATGAAAAAACATATGCTCTCTGACAGCCTTTACTAAGGAAGGTGGCAACCCCCCAGGAAAGAGAGACTTCTATTAATCAGCACTTTCCCCTAGCAATGTTTATACTTTGTTCCTGAAAGCTACTGTGGGACTACTGATAGCACAGCAGTCTTCAGCTTAAAGCCTTGTTGGGGGAAGTCTAGGGAGACATGGGGAGGATGGGGAATAAACTTACCCCAACTAAGGATCTAGCTCTCCGCATGCCAGACTCTCAGAAATATGCATCTCTTTGTAAGTGAGTGCATCTCTTCTCTCATCATCAGGGCATGCCTTCCGCCCTCCCATCACCTGCTCACGTGTCACTGGCTGACTCAGGAATAATTCCCATTTTGTACAAGACACGGCAGTAGAGGGGCACGCTCCCTAACTTTCCCTTTCCCGCGGAAAGTGAAATTGCAGTCATGGCATGGCACACCTTTGCACAGATACGGCAATGAACCGCTGCCTTGTTTATTCACTGTAGCATTCTCCGATCTATAAAGGCCCCTTCAAAATGACTACAAATAAGCCATAGGACCTCAAAGTAGCACGCTAGTTCCAAGACTCCACTCAAGAGACAGAAGGACCTGAGCGTTTTCGCTACTCTTCCGTTCACTCCTGCGGGACTGGAGTGTCTGGAGATCAACAGTAGCAAACGCTGCAAAATTAATCTTACTAACAAGCCTTAATCTCTGCTAGAAAGTTAACGGCAAGAGCATGGTGGGAACTTGCAAAACCCTTCGTTACTTACATATACAATCTTGGATCTGAGGTCAGAGTTTCAATGTTAATATGCTGCTCCAGTAGACTGTAAGCCAGGATAGGTAGTGACGTGAAGCAGATGTTGTACATTGTAAGGTAAGCAGCATCATACAGAGGCTTAAAAACAGCAGAAGGGGGTGAATAACATTTACAGAAAAGTCCCCGTTTACTTTAAAAAAGTTTTCCCCTAAAAAGATAAAAAGCTTTCCTATTCTTACCCTCCACACACACAGGACAGTTCATATTCTTGTCAAAGCAACAAACAAATGACTAATTTAGCCCAATTCATGCTTGGAGGCAACGGCGTTAAAGGCAAGTTGTATTTGCCTTTACCACTGTTACAGTTTAATGACAAAAGTCCTGTTTCTGCCCAAACTGAAGTGAAAGGGCAAATTTCCAGCAAGCTCGATGGCTGCTGGATCAAGCCCAATGATACTTTCAGATTCCAAATTTAAAATGAGGTTCCTTCTGTTAATCAAACACCCCCCCTGCAGTCTCATTCTGCACCTTTAATATGGGAGCTGGTAAGTCTAGTGTAAAAGCAACTCAAAAAGAAGTCTAAGAGTGATGTGGTTGAGTATTACCAAGAAGCAGGGATCTCAAAAAGACCAGTGGCTGAATTTGTATCAATGTAATACAGTCTTTCAGCCACTTTCATTATGTTCCCGGTCTTTTTGCTCAGGTTCAATGGGGGCCACCGGAAAGTTGAGCTTGCGAGCATACATGGGAGGCTTTGTCAGTCAGGCAAGCCTTTTTAGGTTGTAATTAAAGAGCAGTTGAGCCCATGGGATTAACAAGTTAAAGTGGCTTCTTTAAAATCTTGGACTCATTGTTTTAGGAGTGCAGCATGGGAAGGTAGGAGGCAAAGTGATTTTAGAGCAGTCACTTCCTACCTTGTCAACAGCTGCTCTCTTGTTTGGATTCTAATTAATACCGTTGAGCCCTCCTAGACCACTTTAACAAACACACATGTTCTGTCCTCGGCACCTGCTCTCTGAAAGATTCCTTGTTAGACAGGGACTACGGCCAAGAAAAGCCTCTTTTTGTTTCAATGGAAGTCATTTTCCAATTGCCTGAATGGTTTTGCTCTTCCTTCTGATTGCTCCTGGGGCAACCCAGAGACAACAAACAAATGCACAAATGAGCACAGGAACCCAAAACTGTTGTTCCAAGACCTTTTTGTTTTAATGGCCACATCATCCCACCTGTCACAAAGTTCTACACAGCTGCGCACAAAGTTCTACACAGCTGAGGCACTCATTTGGACTAGGTCGAATATAGGTTCATTGTTTTATTTGGGACAAGATCCTCAACGGGTTCATTATTTTAAAGCTTATTGTTAAGGAATAAGCTCCTCTACCTAGTCCTGTGAGAGACATTTTTAGTACAAGGAGATACAATAGTGTGGCTTTGTTCCTTTATAAAACAGAGGAAGTGATGTCAACATGAGTTAATAGCAAGACTTTCTAAAAACATTCTCTTGTTACTTTTGGAAAATGCCCCTCTGGGCATGGTTGGAAAAAAGGGAAAGAACAGTTTGGAACTTCTTCTTTTTTTAAAGTTATACCGCAAATATTTAATGTTCCAAATCTGTTGCTTAGCAATTAGATTACATTAAGTGGCATCGTTGATAAAGTTAGTCGGAGAGCATGCAGGATAACAAAACCAAATCTTGACTATGGAACTTCACTTTCTGACAGTTTAGAGCGTGTTTTTATCAACTTGTTATTGGAACATACCTGTTGCGAGAATCCACAGAAGAACTGGTATAAAAATTGTGGTAAAATGAAGCAAAGGTTCTAGAAAAATTAGAGACAGATTTTAGTAGAGAAGCATCTTGTGTTCTTAAGAGCTGTTTGATTTTTAAATATAAATCTGAATTATGCTTCACATTTACTGTATTATCAAAACATTTAGGGCTAAAAATCTGGCTATGAAACATGAAGCTAATGCTAGTTGAATTGTAAACTCTTTGGACCATCTTTTTGTTGCTATGGAACGACAAACAATCCAGCTTTAATATATACAGTGGGCACTGGAACAAGCCCTACAGCAGAAGATTAACACAGAGATTGTGTACAACCCATAACTGTAAGACATATATTACTAACTATACTACTAATGATATATATTTTTAAAGCTACGAAGAAAAATGAACTACAAAAAAGGATTACAAAACAAACTTTAGTGGACTTTGTCAATATTAAAGGGGGAAAATGCCTGAATAGTGTTCAATGACATTTGTTAGTTGAATGTAAATCCTTACCTTATAGAAGAAATACTGTACAAGGTGTGCTATTCTCACGTAATATAAATGCCCATGTGCTAGTAGCAATTTTCTTAAATGCTTAAACCTTGGAACAGCATAGTCACTGTTTCTTGCTGCCTGACGACCTTCTTTGCCTTTTATACCTGAATGACACATAAATACGGTGAGCGATTTACAGGGTGCTGGAATTTAGATTCAGACCAGCCACTAGATTTGCCAACACAGTTTAACCTTCCAAACGACAATAAATATATAAAAAAGACTTGCCGATTTATGAAGGAAGCACTTGTCACCTCCCCAAGGATCCCAATGTGCTAGGCAGACTGCCATTCAAAACAACAGTGCCATTCTGGGGCGGAGAGCCCCAGACAGGTAAACTAGGAAGCAAAATCCTAACACTCCATGGGATCATTACTGTCCTTCATAACAATAAGGTCTGTAGTTTTGAGGTTCGTATCCAGCAGGTCCTAACAAAATAAACTGCAAGGAATGCAGTTTATCAGATGGTTAAAGAGTGGGAGTTGAGTTTTGCCTGCATCCTTGCCAGCACGTAAACACGTAGTTCCATGCATTCTAGTTATTTCCCTGCAGATACTTAGAATACTAAGCCATCCCCCCTTCTATGGCTGAGCTCAAGACAGCTGGTTTTGTTCAATCGACAGGTACATTCAGTGAATGACAAAGGAAGCTGTATGAGAAAACGCTTCCATTCATTGGAGGCAACGAGACATTTCAATCGCCAGGAAGGACGACCCCATCTTTTCTCTTCCATCCTTCCCGTCTCAGTGACACTCAAGTTCTCTAATATTTCTACTACCTCTGGCAGCATTGGAGAAAATCTCAGATTGGTTCCAACATGAGATCAGTCATAAGAAAGGGGCAAACACATCAACATCATTGGAAATCAATCTTTGGAAAGTAGATTTTGATCCCCTGTGGTGAATTACAACCAGCTGTAACCAGCAAAACCGCATTCCAATGAATTTATAAACAGCCAGTTAAAGAATATAGGCCAATTCCAGCCCAGCTGGGCTAATTAGGTGCTAATCCAATTACGTTTTCAGGCCCAAAGCTAGCAATGATGAGAAGAGTAGAGAAACATTTGGTTTAACCTGGTGCCCAGTCCTGTTTCCATTGCCATCAACAGCAAATCTCCATTGATTTCAATGGGAACAGAACTAGGCTTGAGTGGGATACAACAGGAAAAGCCAGAGGAAGGCGCAAGAAAGTGGGAATGAACCGATATTATCTCCCACCTTCGTCGCTTTGACTGCTACATTCTACGTTGTGGAATCTCCATCTCTGGAGATATTTAAGAGTAGGTTAGATAAATGTCTATCAGGGATGGTCTAGATGGTGTTTGGTCCTGCCGTGCGGGCAGGGGACTGGACTCGATGGCCTCTCGAGGTCCCTTCCAGTCCTAGAATCTATGAATTCCCTCCTTGCAACAACCGGACATTGAAATTGGGCTCATTTTATACTGATTGCCAAATTGATGTGAAAGCATTATTTTCCCCCTTAAATCTGCTGTATGACAAAGTGATCCATGCAATTTGCATGACCCCTGAATTGGGCCCTGTATTTTCTGAATGGAAACTGTAGCTTATTTACTTATGAATCGGCATCTTGCTTTAAATAAAAGTTTCCCATGTACCTTGAGAAAGAAGCAAATATTTTCTTAGGGAGAAATCCTGATTATTTTGAAGTCAATGGCAAAAGGCCCATTGGCTTTAATGGGCCAAGAATTTAACCCTTAGCATTCAGAAATAGTTATTATATTTTACTACTATTTTAAAATCCTGTAATCTAAACCCTTAAGAACTGATTTCTCGTTTTGCGAACACAGTTCAGGCAGAACATGTTAAAAACTTTTTATTGCACAACTATCTCATATTTCCAGCAGTGGGAAACTGGACAGGCACTCCCTGTTACCAGAAGTTAGCAAATCCCTTTGTGCTGCACTGAGAGTGTAGAGCCATGTGGTTAAAGATGTGCATCAAGGATCTAGTGTTAATGCTTCATGGGTCTGATTTGGCTCCTGCTTTATTCAGAGGAAGTTTTGTCATTGACTGCAATGGGAGCAAGGTCAGGCCATGTGAAAGCAAAGGTGTTCACTGACCATCTCCCTCAACTGACCAATAAATAGGCAAGTCTTCAAGCTAAACAGACTGGGGCAAAGTTTTCAGAAGTATCTATGGGGCACTAAAGGGTCTGACAACCTGTTTTACCATATATCAAGTAAAGAAACCATCAGCTTCTACATTTCCATACATTATTTCCCAACTTCAAGGCTTAAAGGACATAGTACATTCTATCTATTTTGTATTTTACTTATTTTCTTCTCATGAGGAGGCAGAGTGGCCTAGTGGAAAGGGACTCCAGAGACCTGGGGTCTATTCCCAGCTCTGCCATTGGCCTGCTGGGTGACCTTGGGAAAGTCACATCCTTTCTCTGTGCCTCAGTTTCCCCATCTGTAAAAAGGGGCTAATGATACTGACCTCCTTTGTGAAGCGCTTTGAGAGCTATTGATGGAAAGAGCTGTACTAGACTGAGGTATTATGATTTCCACACATTTCTCACCTATTCCGACATGTGCTTCCAAGATCATGCTAACATCGTTGGCACCGTCACCTATTGATAGTGTTATTGGATTGCCCTTGGTGTTTTTCACCATTCTAACGATCTACAAAAATTAAAATAGACAACAGGTCAGCAGAAACGTCCAAATGTCAATTGTTCTTTCAAGCATTCTTGAGTAACTCAGCACATACAGTACTGGCCAGGAGACAACAGACACACACGTTTTTTTCTGGCTGACAAAAAGTCAGTCAGGCCGGCTTTTCAACAAAGTGATTCAAACTGAGGCCTGGTCTACACTACGACTTTAATTCGGATTTAGCTGCGTTAATCCGAATTAACCCTTCACCCGTCCACACTACAGAGCCAGTTAATTCGAATTAAAGGGCACTTAAAATCGATTTCTGTACTCCACCTCGACGAGCGGAGTAGCGCCTAAATCGATTTTGTTAATTCGAATTAGGGTTAGTGTGGCCGCACACCACCGAATTACTGTGGTTAAAGTAATGGGGTAGTGTGGCCGCACACCACCGAATTAATGTGGTTAAAAACCGAATTAATGTGCTTAGTGTGGCCGCGCACAATCGAATTTATACAACCTGTTTCCCAAATTCGAATTATCTAAATTCGGATTAATCCTGTAGTGTAGACATACCCTGATTCACACAGGGTTGAGATTCAGTGCAGCCTTCATTTTAAATCCTGCAAGGATTTTCTAGTTGTCCTAAAAACCCACCCAACTAGATCCAATTCCAGTTCACACAATCAAACTGCGGCCACGCGAACTGCAGCGGGTCTATTTTTTAACTCTTTTCTCTTTTAAGCCGTTTAAGATTGAGGCCTGAAATGATCCCATTGAGGCCAAGGGGAGTTTTATCATGGTCATCACCAAGAGATAGCGCTGGAATTAACTTTGTAGAGCTGAAATGCCGGGATATAAATCAGCGGTACCCTTCCTTCCATTCCAAATATCAGACTCCGCCCCCAGTTACAAGGATGCGACTCCCATGTGTTTCATGTGACACATCCTATGTACCTAGAGCAATGCAGGAAATACACTGTTTATGGCCTTTTTGATACTATCAGTTGTTGCGGAAAAGTCATAAAATCCTGTTTTCAGAGCTTGGAATGGAATTAAATAGATCAATCCGTCTGTCCCTTTATTTATAGGTGAGTTGAACTTCAAAGCGCTTGTAAAAATAGTTCCAGGAAACCTCTATGAAAGACAAGACTGTGGCACAAATACACCAACGCACGGAAAAGGCTCCTACACAGCCAAAAAATAAAATAAAAAAGAGTCAGATGAGTGAATTTTGTTAAATTTCGTGGTTCAGGAGACAGTCTGTTAAATCAAAGTCATCAGAGGGTTTATAATAGACTTGCTGAAATACCTCTGGTAGCATCTGTCCTTTGGAAAAGGAAATTAGATAGAACTTGCTGAAGGTCCAGTTGCATGGTACATGTTTCTCATACTTACATGATTTTCCCTTTTATTTTATTTTATTTTTTTAAATTAAGAGGTTTTACTTGTCTACATCAAGACAGCTTCACTTTAAGGTACAGAACAATTGTTTCTCACACGCAGAGTAACCACTTAGCCTTGTTTCCGGTGGGAATCTTTTGCATCTAGAGCAAATACATTCTGGAGCATTGTCTGTGCTTAGGTAATGGAAGACAGCCGCTGCCCCAGCTTGCAGCCTGTCCAGGGGCCAAGTTATACACTGACTTATAGCCCATGCAACATGTGTCCAGCACCTCTGAAAAAAATCAAACCACTGTGTATAGATGCCTAAATATGGATTTTGGAGCCCCTCTGTACACATGGAGATTGGAAAGTTTGGAGTAGTAGTTTTAGCTACTGAAGTGTGCTGCAAGTAACACTCAAAACAGCCTGTAGCTGATGCCTCCTGCAAAATGACCCTATCAGCGTACCGACAGCACCTACCTGGGCTTTCTGCAAAGGAGCCATCCGACAACATAGAACTGCAGTACACTTCAGGCAAATCTGTAGAAAGATGCTTTTGTAGTTACTGGAACTGGAATCCTGGGAAGGATTGAATATCAACGACAGCGTCGAGCCATCTATAATCAGTCCATATTCTTGGCTCACCATCCAGCTCCTAGAATACAAACAGAAAACGACGACTTGAAAGTCTGAGCCTTAAGTTTCTAAGAAGTCAATTTAGTCATTTCTGTGTTATCTGAGCAACAAAGAAATGGTTTCTAAACGAAAGTGACAAAGAGTCCTGTGGCACCTTATAGACTAACAGACGTATTGGAGCATAAGCTTTTGTGGGTGAATACCCACTTCGTCAGATGCATGGGTGCATGCATCTGATGAAGTAAGCTTATGCTCCAATAAGTCTGTTAGTCTATAAGGTGCCACAGGACTCTGTTACTTTTTACAGATCCAGACTAACCCGGCTACCCCCGATACTTTCTAAACAAAAACAGGTCTGGTTGCCGGAGGTGAGTGTGCGCATGCGTGAGTGTGCGTGTGTGTCAGTGTGCACGTACTCAGCATGTGTGAATGTGCGCGTGCTCAGCGTACATGAGTGTGAACGTGCATGAGCATGTGTGCGCACATGCTCAGCGTGCGTGAGTGTGCACGTGCGTGAGTGTGCACGTGCGTGTGTGCTCAATGTGTGTGAATGTGCGTGTGCTCAGCGTGCGTGAGTGCTCAATTAACTCAAACGGCTTGGATATAAAAGGAAAAATAGGGCATGCCCAAGTACTGCACAGTTATGTTTGAGAAATAGGAAAGCAGGGGACTGTTTATAGGCAGAGAGGCCCCAATCCTGCAATATGATTCAGGTGGGGGACACTCATCCCCACAAGCAGTCCCCCTGAAATCTAGAGCTCTTCCCCTGCATACATGGAATTGCAGGACCGAGGCGAAATCATTTCCCTTCCTTTTAAGCATCTTCACCAAGGGCAGTTATCCAGACACAAACTGCCCACATGCTCTCTCGCACCTTTTAAGCTTTCCGCTATTTTTGGGGAAATCCTGCAGCAGCTTTTTATGATACTCTAGCAACAGCTCGTGTAATCGATCCTCTTTCCTGTCGCCGTCTCCCATCGTTTTTGTCGTCAGCTCCAGTAATTCAGTGTTTGTCTGGAAGAGCCTGGAGGCATAGCAGGTGGATTTTGCAGTTTCCATCTTGTCCCCAGTAAGCACCCAGACCTTCATGCCTGCTGTTTGCAGGGCCTCGATGGTTTCCGCAGCGCGTTCCTGAAGTCTGTACATTGAGGCAATACATTAGCCATCTCATTTACCTTAAAAATACCATTTCCCCTCAGAATTCATGGAGAATGATTCGTGCATGTTACAATGAGCCTGGGGAGGATCTAGGTCAGCCTTTACTGCCTCAGATAAATGACCTAGAGGCGGCAGCAGACAAACCACCCTAGCTACTAGAGGGGGACAAAAGTGCCACATTACATGAGTGTGGCTTATAGTTTGCTAAGAATTTCCACTGGGAGCAAATAAACCCACATGCTATTTACCAAAGAATGACTTATGTACCAACCGGGACATCTCTAGCTGAAACCAGCATAGTACTTTGCCAGCATACGTTAATACCACCAGTGCTATGTATCACGCTTTGCACATGGCTGAATAAAATAACCCACCCAGCAAGGCCGCTTTCAGATGAACTTTAAACTGAAAGAAGTCTGACTATATTGCAGCACCCTCTGAACAAATTCCTACAGGAAAGTAGATGGGAGTTTTGTGGCAGAGTGTGGGGTAAAGTCTGATGGGTGGTTAGTCCCAGGAAGGGCTTCAGGAATGGGTCCAATAACAATAATTTTCACTTAATTAACCTTATTTATTTTAGCAAACGTTAACCATTTAATCCACAAAAGCTCTTTAGGCGGACCGCTTTTCTCATTTTACATTTGGGAAAGACGAGGCAAAGATGTTAAATTATTTGCTCTAGGTCACAGAGGTTACATCTATATGGCAACCCCTCCTGTCCCCCCCTCCAAAAAACAAACAAACAGGCAGTGAGTCTCAGAGCATGGGGAAGGGAGCGGGTTTCAGACCCAGAGCTCCAGCTAAAGCCCAAATGTCTACACAGCTATTTTTAACACCATAGCACAAGCCCGACTAGTCTCAGACTCACGAGATGTGCTGCCCTGAGGGGGTTTTTTGCCGTGTAGGCGTGTCCAGAGGGATTTAGCGTTAGAGCCAGGATTACAATGTAGTCCTCCATTCAGTCACTTCACCCAACTCTTTGACTAGCACCATAAAACGCAGAGTGAAAAATAAACGACAGCCTAATTTACACATACAGTTACTGCGACCGCACCTGAATTTGTATGAGTTTGGTACATAAATTAGGGGCACAATGCTGCATGTGTTTCTGAAAACGTAGGATTTATTGATTAAAATGTTAAGAGTACTTACTGTTTAAACCAGTATATTTTTAGCAAATAGGCAATTGGTTGTGGGACGTGCCATGAAATAATTGCTTTAGACATTCTGTCGTCTTCTTAGGATCAGCCCACAGCTTTCAATAAGCACCATGGTGGACTGTCACGGCACAGACGGCTGCTCAATGGTCTCACGTTGGTCATTCACCCACCCTTCCCTCATTGTCCTGAAATTACTCTCAGGGTAATTTCAGACTGAGGGAATACAGGCTACACCGTTCTGAACAGCTACAGCATTCATATTTCATCTGCTTGCTTGCCACCATCTTACCTGTCTTCCACAGCAGTAGCCCCTATCAAATGCATGTCGGTCTCTATGTCATCAAAAATCCTGGCCATCTTTTCTTCTCTGTCCTGTAGAGCCATTTTCGCTTCACTGAGCTGTTCATCAATTTTTTTATAGTCCTCTTGAGTTAGTTCTTTGAAGGCCACACAAAGAGTTCGATATCCATCCTTGAAACAAAGAAGTGGATATGTGCACTAAAGAACACCGTTTAAACAGCCCCTACCTTAGAATTTTTACTTTCTGTTTCTATAGGTCACTCAGTGCCTGCAAAGATTGGGTCCAATGTTAGAAGTGATTCTACATCTTAAGGACCATTTCCTCTTTGTTTATATATTAATCTCCACACACGGCAAACCTTGGACATGGAACATTACAATATGTATTATAAGCTGTGGAACTGAGCATCTTTAGCAGTAATAAGGTCACGAGAAATACGGAATTGTAAAACAAGGCTGTTTTAAAATACATTGCAGTATAAGAAGAAGAGGACCAACCAGAAGAGATAAGAACGAATACTAGGGCTTGTCTACACTACCCGCCAGATGGGGTCTTGTATAGATGCGATAAATCGACCGCTGAGTGCTCTTCTGTCGACTCCAGTACTCCACCAGAACGAGGAGCGCAAGCGGAGTCGATGGGAGAGCATAAGTTATCGATTTACCGCAATGAAGACACCGCGGTAAGTAGATCCAAGTAAGTCGACTTCAGCTACGCTATTCATGTAGCTGAAGTTGCGTATCTTAGATCGACCCTGCGCGGTAGTGTAGACAAGCCCCTAGCTTCAGCACGTTCAGAACTAACTATAAACCTCTTTTCTCAATATAGCTCAATTTAGATAAATGCTTCTCAAAACAGCACACACACAAAACAAAACTAGAAACCGATTCAAGGATTTCTCTACAAGGCTAGAAAGGAAAAAAGACAGAAAATGTTATTGTTATTGCTGTTTTTAACTCCTTGGGAGATGATCAGATCCTACAGGAATCAGGATCGAATAAGTAGATCTGAAGTTAAATAAAGTTGGAAGCCAGAAGAACAGAAAAGGAAACAAGACAGATATGGACTTCAAAACAACAAGAACTAAAGCTCACATTTTCCTCAACCCAAGGTCAGAGCTTTATCTTCGGAGAAAGGCTTCCCTTCCAACAAGAACAAACCTAGTTTCGTGTACACACTTACCATTGCGTTACGTTCTACATGCACTTTAGTTTGTTGTATTTCATCTTGTTGCACCCTTGGAAAAATAGAAGAGTCTGCTCCTTTACAGAATAGGAAGAACTTTCCTAAAACAGAATTAAAAAGAGGATTGAAGCATTCAAAGTGTGTAGCGAGATGTAAAGACCATTGTCTTCAATGTGCCGTAAACTTAGCTGGAAAGAAGAAATAGGGCAAGATTGCAAATGGAGCTGTTACAGGCAGGGCTGGTAATGCCTGGTAACGCTAGCAAGGTTGCCACCTACTATTAAGGACGACAAGCCCCAGTTTAAGCCCATGCTTTCAGCTGCTTATCACTTTGCCAAACGCTAACCGTTTGGGTTGCAGTTTTCCAGGCTGTGGATGTCTGCCTCAGGCTGAATTTTTTGAATATTTCAGCCATTTCGGAGAACGAAAGCTCTAGTGCCTTTGGAACAGAATCTTTCCCCAAAGTTTCTTTCTGCGCTGGGCGCACTTCACCCTGGAGCTGAGCATCACCCCCTTCCTTGCAATTGCAGCTCTCTGCTGCTGTGGGCCATGCCATGTACCAGCAATGAGAGCAGGGAACCCCATCTTTCCGATGCTCTCAAAGCCCCCCCTGCTGGATCTAGGCAGCATGGAGGAGTAAGCTGCCTAATTTGAATGCAGAGGGGACAAGAGCCAAGGGCGTGGGGGGGAAAGGGCATGGGACAAATTAGGTCACCTTAATTCGGCCCTCTTGTGCGTATGCATTATGATACAGCCTTTAATTATGTGATCATGTATTTTTTCCACAGGACCCCATCTGTATTCAGTGCATGGGACCCTGCTATGGGGATGAATCTGGGCTGTGTAGTGAAGGAGGCTATTGTTTGTAGGTTCCCTGTTTCATTGGTTGCAGCAGCTGGAAGGTGTGCGACTGAGGCAGGGGACTGCAGGAAGAGAGAAGAGGGTCTCATATTTAAGGAACTTTAATAGTGCCCTGGGGAATTGGGCTCTACCCTGCCTCTGCCATCATCCTAGGTGATGCTAAACAAGTCACTTAAACCAAGGTTTTCACAGGTGGTCACAAATTGTGTGTTGCTTATTTCCTAGATGCTCAATCTGAGATCCTTGCGCTTGATTTGTAGAAGAGCTGAGAACTCACAGCTGCAACTGAAACTAATGGGAGCTGTGCTTTGAACATATAATGTGCTATAGAATGCTAAGTGTTCTGAAAAATGAGGCCCAATGCATTTCAAATCGGGCACCCAAAATTACTGGACACTTTTGACCATACTCTCTCTGTGCCTCAGCCCCCGCAGCTGTAAAATGGGCTTAACATATCCCCTCATCTCACAGGGGTGTCGTGAGAATAAATTCATTAATATTTGTGAAGCACTCAGGTACTCAGCGATGAGCACCATAGAAAAGCCCAGGAGGAAATTATTAATTCTGTATTCACGCATACTGGTGGTCAATCAATTACAATTCTGAAAAATAAACAGGGGCAAACATAGATGCATCCAATCATAAGACTATCCAATTACAGTCGTTTATATTAGAGATTCGTTCTAAATACTTCAATTCAGCATCTTATAAACGGTTTGGAACGTATCCTTTTAGAGCCTGTCATCTATCAGCTGTTTCAGATGGATTACAGTATGCCACATCCTATGTACTCAGGTCTCTGAGTTGTGATGTGGGCGGATGCATGCACATAGATTATAAAGAGGAGATATTAACAGCTCTGAGGACACATTTCTATGGCCTAGCAAGTCAAATCAGTTCCCAAAGATGTATATATCCTTGAATTATTTAGTTGCCACACAAATACACTGCAACAAATTCATGCCTGGTGTAACGTCACTGAAGTCAGGGTTACACAAGGGCTAGATTTGGTCCATCACATCAATGGGCATACGGATTGAAAGTCTTAAAGTTAGCATGCGTGGCAAGCAAACCACACTTCTAAATGAAAGAGCTGTCATTCGTAATTATCCTTCCCCTAAAGTGATCAAAGCTATGCCATAGCTCCTAAAAACCAGCACAACTTCAGCTTAAAATAAAAAGCTGGTGGAGTTAGAATGTAGAAAAGCATCTGGAGCCACCAATTTCTAATTCTTTGGGCACTTTTAGATCTCTAAAAACATTTTTCTTTTACATGATAATTGGATCATTTTTCAAATGCATAAAAGAAAATAAAAAAAAGTGTCCTTCCTAGCTCAGATTGGGTTGGGCTCAAATGTGGCACAAAATTGTATGGTTATGTTACCAGGGAAATGCTGGCAAATGCCATATTCCAACAAGACCGACATCTCTTTATAGAGCATCAGAAGCATGTCAGAAAAACTGCGCCTCACTAGGACTCTGCAGTGGGCTTTCTTGTAGTGTTAGCTTGGGCATGCACAGTAAAGGTCTATCAGAAATATGACCACTGATCTCATTAGCACACTTCAAGGGCCAAGTTCTCACGTGCAGGTGCCTCTAAGCTTGCAAAATGTGCACCAGTGCAGTGGGTGCATGTACAAATCAATGAAAAGCACATGCCATTACCAGATTTGCACGTGCAAACGAGATTTTTGGACACTCAGGTGGCATGCAAGTGAATTTTGCAGGTGAGGCTAAGGCCCATGAAATGTAACAGGTTAGCTTTTCTGTAAAATGCAAAAGTAAATGCAGACATAGATTTGATCCACAGTACCTGTACTGGTTTTCACAATAACACTCATCCGGCGGCGGACAGGATCAAAGTTTAGTACATGAAGAAGCTGATACCTTTAAAAAGGAAAGAACAGAACTTAGAAATTTGAGATTTTTTTTTTAAAAATGATATTCAGTAGAAGGTTGTAAGACATAAGAACATACTAAGAATGAACTGCAGAACTCTCTCTATGCTAGATTGCACGTATCAGGTGCCAGCTGACCAATTTCCTTATTAAAGATATAGTATAGGTATTCAAGCTACAAGTCATTTATACATGACAGGTGAACAATGCCCACTACCATCACTAAGAGTCATGTGATTAGACAGAGAGCAACACAACTGCTGGAGCATTTCAGGGAAAGCAGGGCTGAGTTAGCGTTTGCCTGAAAGGAATGCACATGGACATGTTATTTTCATTTTCATTAAGATAAACCAAGCGCCACTCTAAGATGCTTGTCAATTTAACAAAGCTGCTCCACATGCATTCACAGTGTTTGGAGATTCCCTGTAGTAGTTGTTTATGGGCCATTTCCTTGATGCAAGGGTGATGTGAACAAGCCAGATGTATGCTTGGTCCATCACATCATGCTTGGCTGGGGCTCTGAGATATGTGACTGGCAACCACCCAGCACCAGGTTGGCTGGAAGTGGGAGAAGCTAGTTAGGACCTTCCTGAGCCAGCTGACTGGTCAGTGGCTGAAGGTCCTGATTGGACTACCCAGCTGTCAATCAGGGCAAGCTGCCTATCAGGTTGGCTGAACACCAAAAGCAGCAAATAGGAACTACTCTTCATCTCCATAGAAAGGGAGGATGCGAAGTTTGAAATTAAACTTGCTAATAAGACAAGATCTAGGAGGGCAGACGGACCAGGTATTATATCCTTCAAGTGGTATATATCCCTTGGGGTTTACATGAGCAGTTGCCGCAGTGTAAGGCCGAATTATTTTCAGTCCAAGAAGGGGTTCGGGTTGGAGCATGTTTACGCAAAGGTTCAACTTTGTATGGTTGAGGCTTACAGTAGCAACAGCTCTCATACATTCACCACCTAGGAGGTTATCACAACAATCCACAGACCCAAGAGAGGTTCCAGGTTTCAAACCGTGGTGCAGGATATGGTCAAAGGACCTTGTTTTAGGCTTTGATTGATCTGTTATTCAGCAAAAGCTGCAACCAATTTAATCTTTCAGCCAATTCTCTGCTGCCAGGTGCTCTGTAATTCGGACCGGCTTTCATGCAGAGCAGTTATCAGTCTGACACAGCCTGTTGCGTTGTTTCCATCCTGCAGCATTTACCATTTTTCCTGAGTTTAATCAAAACCATGTGCAAGCTGGCACTTGGCAGGGAGTGTTCAGTTAGCGTGAGCAATATTCCTCACCACAATGCAGCTGCGCTTACTTTTCGATTTCATTCTTTTGGTTTTGTACTTTCATGCAACCAGCTTCATGTCCTAGAAAAGTGAAACCATACCTGTCAACAAACAAGAGGACAGAAAGACACTGAAAACACTGTTACGGAATTTACATTTGTAACATTCTCATTTTCATTTCCATATTCTGAAACATGATCTGGGCTACAGCATCCAGTCCATGTATTTCAGTAGTTCACCAGGCTATTCTCTGCATTTCCCGATTTCTACAATCTTAAAGAGAAGTGGATCATATCCTAGAAAACTCTGAGGTCTCTATAGGCCATGTGACTTAACACACGTGCATACTGCGTTACATTCATGGCAAAAATAGATCTGCTTGGTCTGCTATTATGCCTTCAAATAATAATAAGATAATGCAAGTACATCAGAAAGGGCTAACAAAGGTGGCCTTCATGGGGCTGCTTTGTCTCCTTAGAGTTTTTTGCCACTGCACAAAAAGAAAGTAATTTTGCGTTGATACACATGCAGTACTCATTGACTGCGTCTTCTACAATGCAACAGAACCCGCCAACGTCCCAGGGAACTTGGATACAGTACGGCTCTGTTTAATCAAGCGACTTGGGACACCATTCTACTTAAGAGAAGCCCCAAAATACACTGTGATGTGCAAGTTCTGATTCCCAAACCTTTGCTTTTTGTGAAGTTGTTCAGTAAAGGCAAAAATATTGATTAAGCACAACTCTGCTATGAGCCTGATCCAAAACCCACTGAGGAACAAAACTCATTCCACCCATGGAAAGACTCCTGTTGACTCCAGTGGGCTCTGGACCAGGCCAGACAAGAGTTTCTCCCATTGTGCTTTCTACACTCTACAGTTCTCCTTGTCAATTACTGGCCTAGGAACATTTTATTATGAAAAACTCATAGGGCAACTTTTGGGTTCCATTAAGTCGCACTCAACAGCACAAGTTAGTTACAAGAGTATGAAAAACCTTCAGTTCTGAAAACAGACTCAACGCCCTTACTTTTTGGCGCCTTTTACCAAAGCTATTTCATCTGGTGAAGAGGCGATATAGGTACTGCGCTCCTGGTTTACTATCAATCCATCAACGGTGTCTCCTTCTTTGATTTGAACTGTATGGCACAGACACAAAGCACGGAGGAACAGCTCTTCTCGACACTAAGCAGAGTCAAAATACAGGAAATGAGTTACCAGCTTCTTTTCCTGCCCGGAGTACCAGACAGGATTAATTTTCAGTGAAAAGTAAAAATAACCATTATTCTAGTTAAGCTGCTGAATCATAACTACTGGGATTTGGTCAGAATTACCAATCTTTTAGGTTGGAATATTCAAAGGAACCAACGTAGGTTCGGCACCCAAATTCTAACTCTGTTAGTCACCTTTGAAACATCTCACCCTTAAATGGGAACTTCATTTACATGGTGTCTTTCATCCCACAGTACTTTGAAAATGTACCTGCATACACCACCACCGAATTGCCTCAGAGATGGAGAGTAGCAACCAAACAGCACAACAGCTGACGGGAGGGGAAACTGAGCCAACGACACTGGTGCAAAGCCCTACTCTTGCAAAACATGGCAGGTATCTTTAATGGCGCCATAATCAGAAAGGAGCTCTGTTCAAACGTAACGGAGCACTAATTCATTTTAGCAGGATGCAGGGGTAAATGAAGATCAAACAAGGCAGAAAATAAAAATCAGCACTCTGGTTCAATCATTTATTTTATTGCGATGCGTGCAATGCTTCTAGTTCTCTGCTGGGATGCCACTTTAGCAAAGCAGCTGAACACTTCTGCTACAACTCTATTTAGCGTGGTCTTGGTTAGACAAAGGATGGGATCGATTCCTGAAAATGGATATGTGCTCTCCCCTGCGCTTGTCATTACTGCTACACAAACTCAAGGTACAGTGTCCAAGAGTAATAGCTAAAGAAGGAACCTAAACCAAACTCTCAGATCCAAACCCTCCTGAACTTGGGGGATGGAAGAGATTGGACAGAGGAAGCCAGATTTTCAAAGTGTCTCTAAGGGGCTGAACCCAAACGTGGGTTCTGAACACTGCCAAACTTAGAGGTGTTCAAAATTGGTGTCTGAATTTTTACACTTGTGCCCAGCTCTAGTTATTGTTAGCTCTTAGAAAATTGGAGCAGACAGTGAAAATATAGAAGCTACCGAAGCCCAGTTCTACCTTTTCTGCTTTCCCATAATATTTCGAAGGTCCGTCCGTGTGAGAGAACCCATCCACCTCTGAAATGCCCTCTTTGTACTTGTGTCCATCTATGCAGCACTCAATGAACTTCATGCTGTTTTCAGTCAGGGTTCCAGTTTTGTCCGTGAACACATACTCGACCTAAAAGAAAGGGAGGAAGTCACTGCTGTACTTTTTCTTCGCTACACTCCCAGCTTTCATTGTTGTCTAAAAGAAAGAAGCTGAGGCAGCACTGAAAACAGGAGAATAACTGGCAACTTAACTAGTAAGACCTTATCCAGGAGAGAACCCCTGGCACTTGCTTAACTTGGACTTCAAAGTTTGGAGTAGGGTATATTAATACAAAGAAAAGACAATATTGCACCCATTCCCAGAACAACTCCTCTGCTTCCAAGTCATTACACAATTGCCCTGTTTAGTTTTTAAAACTCTCAGAGAACCTGTCTTACGGCCCTTGATTACTCCCCCATCAACCATCTGTTCCCCCAGCTAGTCTTTCTCAGACGGTGCTGTACTTAGCACTGAATCAAATAAAGCAACATATAAAAGACCAACATTTAGATTTTTTAAGTTTTTAGCAAACCTATTGATCACTACAAAAAGTTTCCATACATTTTTCCAACAAAGAAAAGATATTCCATTTTGAACACTTGCTTTTAAACAAATAAACATTCCTTTGCAATGCCTGAACTCAAATGGGGAAGTCTGAGAACATGGAAATGAGAGGGATTTTATATATAAGAACATGGAAATTGATTTCACTGATTTTCACTGTCCCAGCTGAGAAAAGTGCAACAAGGAAGCACATAGTGTAACACCAGGCAAAGTAAACTGTATTTTGAAAAGCACAGCAGCTGTTTAATCAGGGCTGTAGTACAAACCCATTTGTTTGCTTTATGGGAGTTTTATGTTGACAATGCAATTAAATTAGCTAACAGTTGTTTCCAATTAAATGTTTTCTTTACAGGAACAAACGTAGGGTATACTACAGTACGATCAATTGCACTGCGCTGCTGTGGTTGACCAGAGTGAAACATTAGCTACTTAAGAATCCCAGCAGTGCAGAGAAAACCGTAGTAGCGCAGTTGCATATCAAATGCATGCAGTGAAAGATTACCAGAATTATACTTTCCTCACTAACCTGCACAGAGAAAGCTTACAGAGAATTTTAAATTTTTAATTAATTCAAGGAAAGCAAACAAATTACTGACATGCAGTTAGGGTTTGACGTTCTTCTATGTGGAAACAAACTGCATGATAAATTGCATGTACAATAGAAATTGAACATGAAATTTATAAGCTCATCTAGTTTTCAGAAGCAAATAGTAGCACACTCAACCTAAACTGCCACCAAAAATAGTTACAGTTATAGCTTGACAGGTAGACGAGTGATTAGCAGACAGACAAAGGTTTTTAATAAGGGAGAATGATTAATTACTGCAGCACTGACTTTCTAATGATTTTTCAGAGCTGCTGAAGGCTGCAGTGCTGGCACAAATACAGCAATCAGGTCCCTCTCTAAGGCCAAGACTATAACAGAGTTCAAAAAAGAACTAGATAAATTCATGGAGGATAGGTCCATCAATGGCTATTAGCCAGGATGGGCAGAGATGGTGTCTCTAGCCTCTGTTTGCCAGAAGCTGGGAATGGGTGACAGGGGATGGATTACTTGATGATTACCTGTTCTGTTCATTCCCTCTGGAGCACCTGGCATTGGCCACTATCGAAAGACAGGATACCGGGCTAGATGGACCTTTGGTCTGACCCAGTATGGCCATTCTTATGTTCTGTCCTGCCCTACAGCCACGTGTGACTTCTCTTTGTTTTAATTAATTTATAGAGTAATGTTTTTAACTTCTACTTTAGATGTTCTCATTAAAAAGTTAATGTTAATCTGGTACAGTGACAACAGAGCATGATTATATCACTTCTAACAGACTTCCCCTAACGGTACCATAAACCATAAAAATGGCTCTCAACCTTCCCAGACTTCTGTACCCCTGTCAGGAGTCTGATTTCTCTTGCGTGTACCCCAAGTTTCACCTCACTTAAAAACTACTTGCTTACAAAATCAGACATAAAAATACAAGTGTCACACAGTACATGATTACTGAAAAATTGCTGACTTTCTCATTTTTACCATATGATTACAAAATAACTCAGTTGGAATATAAATATTGTACTTACATTTCAGAGTTTGGCATATAGAGCAGTATAAACAAGTCACTGTTTGAAATTTTAGTTTGTACTGACTTCACTAGAGCTTTCGATATAGCCTGTTGTAAAACTAGGCAAATATCTAGATGAGTTGAAGTACCCCCTGGAGGACCCCCACACGTACCCCTGGCTGAGAACCACTGCCATAAATCCCCTACTTGGATCAACACTCCAGAGCTTTTATGCCTCTAGGTTTTGGATACTGGAGTATTTCCCTAAGCACGTAGATGTTTCTAGGATGGTGAGCAGAACCACCAGAAGGGAGGGAATTACATATTGTATACAAATCTAAATCCACAAATATTGCATCAGAGCTTCCTACCAATAGGAAACTAAGCAAAATAAACAACGCCATCTGTCTCTCTAAGCGCCGATCAATGACGATTGTTTCCTAATCAAAGCACAGATAGAAGATGAAACTACTCTACCCCTGGCCTTTGCGGTCATGGGGGTAGGGCTAGTATACCTCTATGCTCCAGTGACTCCTGGCTGCTAGAACAGCCCCTGGCCATGGAAGGCAGCCAGATGAAACTAAAAGCAGACACGAAACTGCTCTAAGTAGCACCATGGCCCAAATTAGCTTCATAGCTGAAGTTCTGGCCCACAAGTTCTACAGGAGGGATTTCACTACAGCTGTTTTAGTCCAAGGAAGAGTTGCACAGTTTTACCATGAGACATTGTCCATGCATCCAATTTTAAGTTAGCACAAATGGGGAGCACGTTCTAACCTGACCGAGTTCTTCGTTGAGGTCCGAGGTATTCACCAGTGCTCCTTCCTTGATTTCTTCATCATACATCTCCTTATCCCAAGCAATAAAGAAGGAGCCCAAGAATTTTTGCATTTCTACAGTAACGTACATGGAGACCGGGATAATGAAATTGAACAGAACCATAAACGACAGGAAGTCTGTGAACATTCTTAAGATCTGCAAAGGAAAAATAAAAAGAGGCATCATGTACTAATCAGATATCCAATTCAGCCAGATACAGACATAATCAACAACAACAAATTCAAGGTTCTAATTAGATTTTATTCTTCAGTGGTGAAAAGAGAACTCGATATGAAAAATAAAACTCTTGAGAAAACTAAGGTTAATGGACCAAACTCTGCTCTCAGTTCCATCTTGGTAGGGTGACCAGATAAAAGGAAGAAAATATTGGGACACGAAGGGGGGGGGGGGGGGGGGG